CTGTGCCCCTGAAAGGGCTGTGTCCTGTCCTCTCCAACGCTGCATCGCTCCTGTCCTCCCTGTGGCATCAGCCCTGGAGCTGTCTTGGCAGAAGCCTGAGGGTTTGGTCTGGAAATACTTTTGTACATGGTGACATTTGTCCTTTAATATGGGTTTAATGTAATGTCCTACAAATCCTTATGACTATCTTGGAGGTCTTGTGGTTGAAATAAAAGCACATATGGATCACTATCTTTTCACAATCAGCTTGAAGTAAAGGCCAGTCAGAAACACCGCTAGTCACTTTCTACCAGGTTGGTCTTACTCTGTTGCTGAAATAACCAAGCCTAGTATTACATATATTAAATACTCATGCCTGAAAATCAGGAAAAAATAATTGCTATCACTTTTACCAACTCCTTCACATGTGTTAGTACTGAGCTGATGAAAGGCTGCTCTGCAGCTAGGGTTTTTGAAGAAGCCTAAGGGATTTGGCTCACACAAGTACAAAACTTCCTGCTCAACGGAAAGCGGAGGAGTTGGCCAAGGTTTCATGTGGCCAAGTCCTGAAGCTTTGGGATCTGGGAAGACAGTGAGGAGGGTGTGATAGCCGGCAGCAAGTTGGCAGTTCCCTTACAGCCATGATGAAAGAGAACTAGAGAAATCAACAGACAGCTTGTCCTCATTGCCTGGCCACAATAAAAATCTGGATCTTGTTTTCTTTTTATCTGGGAAGTCAAAGCTGAGCTCTCAGGGTATCTGCATTCCTGAGCCTTGCTGTGCAGGGGGTGCTCGGTTTGTTCAGTTTTGTTGCAGCACAATTGTGTCAAACTTTTGCAAAGTTTCAGCATATTCCCTTCACCTCTCCCTTCAGCAAGGCACAGAACATCCCGGTTCTGATTCACTGACTTTGCTGCTCTGTTCCCTATCATCAGGGCTAAGAGTGATGAAGACTTCATTAATATTGCAATTAGTGCTGTAGGAGACGGACAGGAGGTGAATACACATGAGTTGGTCCTTTCGAAGGTGCTGCAGGATCACTGTTAATATGCCCTTAAACTACTAGAGATGCAGTGTGCACTGAAGCCAGTACCTAGGAAAGTCAATTTGTAACACACAAATGCACATTCCCGTATCTCTTGGCTCAGTAGTAATGAAGGCTTAATGACAGAGCTATGGATGCACTTCCCTGTGTAACACTTGCCATCATGAAGGAATTGTTACAATTTTCTGCTTGCCGAGAGCACAAAAAATGAAGATGTAATTTCAATTCTTAAAAAACTTTTGATATGAGAAATTGAAAATACAAATATTACTACTCAATGTCCAAATGTCATCAAAGAAAGAATTGAACAAATCTGAAAATAAACTGTCATTTGAGCTATTTCTATTAGCCTCAAGGTTTAACATTACCATATAAACAGGCTTGCATAATGCTAAGACAGACTTTGGACGTAACTCATTAAATCACGTATGCAGATGTTCTGCATTTTGCCACATTCCTTTTCTGTGCAGTGCTGACTGATCACAGAAGTGTGATGTGGCTCTCGTGCAGAACAGGCAAGGAATTTAAACAAGTGAAGCGCTACACACAGAGGACAAATGTGTGTTATGGAAATGCCCCCCTCTCCACAGAAAGGGATTTTGATCCAAACTGGCGTTCAGTTGGAGTCCTGTTCAGCAAGACTAGCCAGTGTGACTGGAAAAAAACACTTGCACATTCAAATGAAGCTGCATAACTTGCTTGTTTTGTACAAACTGTGGGTCCTCGCTCTGAATTCTCCTTTTCACCAAATGTAAGATCTGTGAAGTTATTCTCTTCTAAAATGATACAATATTCCTCACAGGCTCCAAGTGCCTGCCATATCAGAACCAGAAAAGCCACTAAGCAGGACGTTGGTCTTAGCAGCACTACCACAGCATCAGCTTGGAGCAAGCTTTGATTCCTGATGCAGTCTTGCTTGCCATGGGTTTTCTTCACAACTGTAGCACTTGGTAACTCAGACACAGCATCCCATACATAAATTATGTATCTGTGTCTGCATTAATAGCTATAGTGGAGGTTGTCATTTAGGTCCAAGACTTGATACAGCCCCCAGATGATGTTCCAAATATGGCAGCTCATCCTTTGAGGCCTTCAAACACAGACAGTATTTACTCATAGCGTACTGTCACACCTTTTATTTATGTTGGACTTGACTCTGAAGTCCTTACTCAGCATCAGCGCTCCGTGGGCGTTTTGCCTGAGAAAGGACGGCAGGCCCAGCCTCTGCAGTTCTACAGCGCCTGTTTTAGCAGCAGCACTGGGATTGCCAGCTTGCTACAAAACTTCTTTGTGTAGATGCTTTTTGTTTTTTCAGTAAATTAACTAACATAAATTTCATTTTGAGATATTTTAAACTAGCACATAATGTAAATAGATATATCAGCAACCATTTGTTTGCTTTCCCTTTTTTGTACTGAAACAAAATATTTTGCACCTTACATTTTAAATTATAAAAGTGGCAGCTTTTCTTCTAACCACAAAAGATGGAATTGTTGCCACCTTCTGCTTGGTCTAGTTAATAATGAAAACTTATCAATGAAGCACTTAAAAACATTTCTGCTTAAGAACAAAAAAAAAGTATTATCAAATTTAAAAACCAAGCTATCTGCATGCGTGTGTGTGGGCGCACCCCTTATACATATGCTTATGTGCAAGACAGATGAAGATTCTGTGACTACCCTGGTAGTCTTACTGGGAACAAGCACTGATGAGGATCGTTAATGAATTCTAATGTGTGCCCTAAATACGATGTTCTTCATTTCATCTGCAGGGCTTGAACCATTGCATCAGCGTGACTAAAGCCCTGGATTTCACAGTGAGGATTGGAGGTCCCCAGAAAATTTGAACTTCACAAAGGAATGTTAGATTAAAAACAACCACTGTTAAAAAAACCCTACTGAGTAAGTAATAACACTGTGTTTCTATTATATAAATCTGTTGGCAACCCTGGTTTTAAACATGCTTGCCTCTAGAGCTGGTTGAAAAGCTAGAACGTTGTCCTGGCTGAAATATTTCAATGAGCTCCCATTGCTACAAGCTTTCTTAAAACTACGGCTCTTGTGACTGTCAAAATCAAGACAAAAAAAGACAGGCAGGTGTGAGGGGAGGAAGGCCTTTTCTTAATAAAGGCAGCTTCAGTTAGTAAGATAACATAATCTTCAAGCTGCAAAAGCAGCACCTACTAATTAGTCATTGACTAAAACATAAATAATAAATACCTAAATTGTTCCTTCTATGCATCCATTTTTGTGCCAGATAAACATTTCAATGCTCCGCCTTAATGCCAGCACAGCTGACACCGCAATTTCAAGTCCAAAGCAAACTGCAAGTAGCTTTAAACCAATACTACTGAGAGAGATACTACAAGCCGCTGGGATCTGTGTTTCACGATCATCTTGCAAATGTTGTTTAAAAGGGAATTCAACCTTCCTGTGAGATGTGATCAGGGAATGGTTCAAATGTCTATCTCCCTCCTGATGTGGATGCTTAACTTTCTGCAGCAGAAAGTTAGCCATACACACACAGAAGGGTAAACAGAAACCTTACTTTATTACATCAACAGGATTTTTTTCTTAATTAACCCAATAGCTTTTAATAGCCTTTTTGTGTTATGTTGTTAACCAGAGATTACCACAGCAACAACAACAAAGTGCATGTTTTGTGCTAATGTAAAATGCATTAGTTGGAGATGAATTTACATATAAACCCTCTATTTTTAAAAAACTCTTGGAATGTAAATGAATTTTTTTCCTGCTGTAGAAAATGCAGCTTAAAATGATGCAAAACATGCCTAAGTAAAACAGGATGCAGCCTGCTAGAAACTCTGAAGCCAGGCACGGGTAGCTTGTTGACAGAATAAAGCAAAAGCAGTGAGAAACAGGGCATTGCTCTCCATCATGTTCAGCTCATAGCTTTGGTCTGGAACCCATGCCCTGCCCAAGCCTAAAGGACACTTCATGACGAGCTGGCAGATCTGAGATGAAGGGAGGGAATTAGTGTTAAGACTTACTAGCCACTACTCAAATTACAGAAGAAATGCGTCGTTGCACATTTAGGTGCCAATTCCATCATTTTACTGGTTCTGCACAACTCAGAAAAAACTCAGTTCAGCTCATGAGCAAAATCAGCAAAGGGTGTGAGCAGACACACCACAGCCCACCCCAACCTACACACACATTTGCTGTACTGCAAGTCTGCGAAATGCTTAGGTACTGGTGGGCTTAGAGAAAAACCTGCGGATTTGAAAGGGCTGAAATCCAAAATGCTTCTTCGTTCTTTAAAATCTTAGTACCCAGACCCTGAGCCTGACTGCATGAGACATAAAATACTAGAATAGCAAAACACTGGTTCCACTTAGAGTTTATAATGAAATTAGTCTAAAAAAATCTCTGAAAATAATCATAAAAGTTTCTGCTTTTGGTCATTTTCCCTAGCTGGGATAACTGACATTAGCTGAGTCCAGAATTACGTTGTGTTGCTAAAAACAGAAGTGAGGTGTACCATAATTATTTTACGTTCTGAGGTAATGCAGCCATGAGGCTCCAGCCTGCAGTGACCAATCTCCCCAGGAAGTGTAAGTAGAAGGGAATTTTTCTGTGATTTACTCACTGTAGCAAAATAATGGAAGCCTATGAAACAGCAAAGGTAGAAAGATTTATTTTAAAAAAATACTTTTAGCAGCTGCTCCTTCACTGCCCTCTCCATGGCTTGCTGCTACTGTTTTGAAACCCACAGAAGCACGAGTGCAGCTGCGTGCGGGGTGGCCACAGCTGCTTCTGGCAGAGCTGATGGACAGGGCAGTGGCAAAGGCCTTGTCAGAACGTTTTGGGTTTTTTTTTTTAAATTAAATCTATTGCAATAAGTAACAAAAAAGTATAATGTTCCCTTACGTTTCTGAAATCTGGTGAGAGACTCACATACGAGCAAGATTAAATTCCCTTTTAAAAACCTATGCCAGAGGAGAGCGTACCGGATGTTACCTCAAGCGACCGTCGGGTTTGACGGGGCCCAGCTCAGATTTGGGGTCTGGGCTCAGGGAACTCCAGGCTGTCTGAGCACAGCCCTGCATGACCGGGCAGGCGGTGGGGCCAGCACTGCAGATGTCCACAGCCGACCAGACGCTGCTGACCAGAGAGTCCACCCAGGCTTCCAGCCGGGCACCCACGAGCCCCGCGTTCCTCTTGGCCTGGTCCACGTGGGTTGCACTGATGGGGATATTCAGGACGGGGTTCAAGCCCTGGAAGCTCTGCTCCATGTATGTGTTCTTTGGAGGCCCACTGTGATACTTCAAGGCTTCATCTGGGAATGTAGAAATAAACCCAAAAGTTAGTGCATTAAAAAACCTGCAACCAACCAAACCTTCAGGATATAAGGGTACAGCAAACAAACCCACAAAAGTCAGTGGTGTGCTATAGTCTGTTTCCCCAGCCTTGAGGACACACTGCACCCTGAGGATGCCTGGCTGGGCTCAGCTCTTCAGCACCTCATGCTCATCGCTGCACGCTGCACTCACCATGATGCTACCCCTGCAAATGCCGTGTTAGCAGGGCAAAGTACCAAGCCTGAAAGCAGCACTGTCCTTATTATCATCATGCACAACCAGCGTCCCCGGAGCTGCAGGACACCCAGGCATGAGACAGAGCTGTCCTGCACAGCACTGCAAGAAGGCAGACCCAGCCTCAAGGGCATCCCAGCTCTGAGCTCCTGTCTGTAGCTGGAGCCTGACCAACATGTAGCTCCTTCTCGGGAGAAACCCATTTTGCATTCATAAGAAGCTCATTTTGCCTCTTTTACTGCAGAAGCATCTTGGGAGATAAGTCCTGTGCAGCTGAAGTTACCCCTGTGGACACCAAAGGAAGGCTGTGCTTTGAAATTAGGAAACAGTTCAAGGATGGTTGGTGTACAAAGACTGCTGACCCTCGTCAGCCCTACAGTACTGTCACAGACTTGTCTAGGAGAAATAACCAAGATCTCAGCCTGTGGTTATTTTTTTCTAAACTGGTGAACCTTGCCCTGCTGTGGAAGTCACAACATTGGTTAGCTCAATCTGCTGCCAAGAACCAGGTGGTGCCATTCCTGGCACTGCAAGGACAACACCATGGCCTTGAGGCAGACCAGACCCCTAATGAAATATGTGTAGCCCCAGCATAATTCCTGGAAGTGCTCCAGTCTCACTGTTCTCTCATGACAGTTACATTTCAACTCTTGTGCCAAATAATGGATCACAACCATTTCCTGATGACACTTCTCTGTGCACGGTGCTCACTTTCCTTACAGTAACTCTGCTACCTTAGTGAAATGCAGTACATTGCCCCAAATTTGTAATGCTGAAGTGAAAATCGTTGTCAGGCTGTGATGATGCCTTCAGAAAACTCGCACTGGACACTGTGGGTCAGAGCGCCCTTGTCTAAGGCTGGCTGACTTCTAAAGGTCTGTGAGTGCACCAAGGGGCTGCTCATAACATCAGAATGGGACCCTCCAAAAATGTTCAGAGTGCCTCTTGGGAGTAAATCTGCAACCATTTCTTTCTGTTCTCAGCTGATTTGCTAACATCCTCGCTCCAGCAGCACAGAGGATGTGTTAAGCTCTGCCAACATACACACAATCCACAACACAAACTGGGCCCATTTGGGGTGCTCCAGGCTAGGAAAGCCACCAGGCTCAAACAGCATTTAGAGGCCAGGAATTAAGTATCCACAGCTACAATTCCTTCCACATGTCCTTGCTGCCTGCACTGCAGCCTGACACTGAGCCCTTTCTTCCATGCCGAGGACAGTGTCTCAGGCATTGGCAATAAATCAGTACATTTATTTAGAGGGAAAAGGGACATTTAATTGGACCTTTGCTGTTACATTTACAAAGTCTTCAATGATAAATACCATGCGAGTCCACTTCTTCAAATCCCCAATGAAATTAGTTCGGCGCATCCCCATCACCATTATACAACATTTAACTGTTCCCGCATTCATTTAAACCCTCTTTTTATTTTAAATGCTAGATATCCACAATAACCTCTGGTCAAAATGAGTTTAATCCACGCACATGTGTCAGAAGCGTGCTCTGCCAGAACACTGCAGTTTAAGAAACAGAACAAGTACACATGATTAGATCTCCTCCTTTGGAAGCAATTAAATATGGAAGAGTGTTTGTCAACATATTAATTAAATAGGAACATTCTAAACAAAAATCCCAAAATAAAGAAGAGTTGGCATTACTAGCAGGATCATCTGATTGAAACAGGCAATCCAGAAAGCTTGTTGAATTAAAGCCCGTGGTGCATACATTTAGTGCATGAAGCAAAAGAGATCATTATCAGGCAAAAAACGGAATAAAATGGAACTTGCTCTTTTCTCTGGCTCAGTCTTGCACTTGTCCCAGGACCTGGTGTATTCTCAGGACTGGAAGGAATGAAACCTACGGAAACTGTAGGACCTGGTGCTTGGCAATGCAGCAGGACATCATAATTTTCTCTGTCTCTGTAACCCTTGTTTGCTTAGATCAGTGGGCGGCTTTTGCTAAAATAAAGGTGATAACCTCAGCATCTCACACACATTTGAATTCCTCTGCTCTGCTGTTGCTGTAATTGTGTGGGACACGCTGTGCTTCTCACACCAACACACCACTGTTTTGTGTGGCACCGCTGCATGACTGACGTGCTCTGCTCCAGAACCAGCTGCGCTGCAGGGGCACATGGGCAGGTGGAACAGAAAGAGCAAATAATGGGACTGAAGAGAGACTTCTGAAAAGCCACAGAGGAATACTAGCAGATAGGAAAAGACTGCTGAGGACAGTACTAAAGGGAACAAAGCAATGTTTTTCAGTGTGTTAAGGGCTAGCACTGCCTACAGTGAAAATGTGCTTCTCCAATGTGAGACATATGATAAAACCCCAGTGCAGTACGGGCAGGGGACTGCCTGGCCCCAGAGCAGAACAAACACTGCACGTTTGGTGTCTGCACATCCCATAAAGAAAGAGCTGTGTAACAGCAATCTGAGTGCAGAGCTATGGATACTGATCAATAGGAAACGCTGAGGAGTCAACCCAGAACCCTCTCCTGGAGCTTGTTAAAACATTCACAGCAGAAAGTAGGAGAAGGCTGCTCATCCAAACTATGGCAGAGGGGGGCTATTCCTCTGCATTAAAGGAAAAATGAAAAAGAGAGAATGAGGTCTCTACAACTTACTGGGCTGGGACAGTGTGGGTCCCAAGCCCTAAAATGGGGTATAAAAGCAGGCTGGAGCTACCGGGCACACTTTTAAAGCACGGACACTTCAGTCCTTGCTCATGAAAATGTAAAATGTAAAATGTAAAGCTTGCCCCTACAAGGTGTGTGTTTAGGCATTTAAATCTGTACAGCTAAAGCAACCAATTCAAAATTAGCTGAATTGCAGACATTAAGCCAGATCTTTTTGCCAGCAAACACATCCATATAGCCCTGACTTCAGGAGGACATGTATCAATACAAAATAAATTACACTGACTCTAAATCATAGCTTTAGAAAATGAGTTATTTTAGTCCCCCATTTTTGTTTGCTCTTCACTCCTGGGAGGGCACTTCATTTCTCAACTCACTTTTCTCAGTAAAACTTCTTTAAATTAAATATACAGCCTATAGTCAGCTGCATAGGCAGGGATCTCAGCATTTTTGTGTGGGTTTGCTCTTCATTTTGCAGGAAAAGCAAATTAGTTTAGACATAGAGTGGGCTAAGGAATGAAAACTGTGGTTACCTTGGTACACATTAAGGCGCTAGACTTTTTAAAGCAACACAGAATGTAGTTTTATTTCTTTACTTGAATTGTGTAGAAGCCCTCTGGCAAAGAGGTAATTTTTTATTGACATTTTGTTTGTTTTCTCTTGCAGCAAACAAGACAGTGCTGCATTTGCTCATTGTGAAGCTAATCGACTCCTTGTCAACTGGATCTAAACTAAATTTCGAAGCAAATCCCTGTCTTTAGGGTTTTTCTCAGAATGACGATTCCAGGGCATGTCTACTCTTCTGCAGTCATGCGCTTGCCGGCTGCTATTACGGTGTTTATCAAGAACATGTCACATTACCTATGGCTAATTTAAAGAAATCACAGCAGTTCTGACACAAGTTGCCACCCACTTTATAATCCGTATAGATGCAATTAGAATTGATTGAGCCACTGCAAACAACCAGCGGCAAAACAAAGGTTTCCCAGTATATACTTAATTAAGATGATCTATAAATATGGATTAGGTTAGAAGGCCTTCAGGATGCATGTGTGCACCATGGTATGTCTGCTAGTGCCGTCAAGCCTTTGAAAGAGGTGGCTGCAGTTACAGTGCGCAGGGACCAGGAGCTGGCGGCCAAGGCTCCCTGTCCCGTTGTGGAGCAGCAGAGAGCAGATGCCCCATGTCTGGGGCATGCAATCAAGCTAGGAACCAAACACTAAAGGTCTCTCAAGGCAAAGAAGGAAGATGCTCTTCTTCACTGCCCTCCTTGCTTGAAGGAAAAAGGCTGTTATTCATTCATTCATTTATTAATTTTCAATCCAGTGTTTAGTATTAGCTTGAGGTTTGGGGCTTTTTCTGCTCCAGAAGTGAATCTGCCCACTGGCTCACAGTGACTTATTTAGCTTTAATGAAACAGGTACTACACATTAAATGCATGACAACTCATAATCGTCACTCCAGCTGGGAGATCACTGTGGAAACTTTGCCGTGAATATAAACTCATATTTAAAAATGCTTTGGCTTTTTCTCTGCCCCTCTCAGTGCCCCTGGGGGACGTGTGTGATCACACTTGGCATGACAGCTTCACACAGACTTTGCAGAGCAGGGAAGGGTGGGAAAGGGGGATAATGGGGATGCAGATGCAACCTCTAGTGAATTTGCTGTTTTCTTAGGAAATGAAATCTACTTGGTAGCATGGAGTACCGTCTGTGAACTGCTGGCCAAGTGCTCTGAATTATACCTGTAGTTCGGCTCTGCCTCTCCAGACCCTATGCAGGGGACCCGAAGATCTGGCCTCAAGTCTTCAAACTGCACTTAAATTCAAGCTGCCTAAAGCAGCAAGATACCCCATTCCTGTCAATTATCACTGCTACTCATCTTCTACTGATCTTCTCCCTCCGTCTCCTCCACATTACATTCCCTCTCTGTCTTGGCACAATTTAATCGCAAGGCCTCCTGCTGGTCCTTGGCAGCCCTCCCGCGTCCTTACAATACGCGCGGAGTACTTGGCTTTAACACACTCAGCCATATGGTGAGAAACACAAAATTGCCATTTAAGAAGAAGAATAAAACAGAAACTGGCTGTGCAGGACGTAAGCAGAAGGAGAACACTGGTGGAGCATGTGAACCTGGTATCTCCAAATTACTTATCTCACAAATTCACTTAATTTTCCTTCCTTTCTTTTCTTTTCTCTTTTCTGCTCTCTCTGCAAACACCTGAAAGCACTCTTGAGCCAGAGGAACCATTGAAAGTTCAAGTGACACAACTCAAACACAGGTTTGCATGACTGGACGGGAAGGAGGCACAAGAAATAACCTCAGATTCTACACTTTCCACTGAAATAGCTTTGGGAGACTTGTTCTCAGCGGAAATACCCCAAACTTCCCAGCATACTCAGTAATTCCATGATCTGATCTCTTATAGATCCAGGTTTTGAAAAGGTCAATCTGTGCTTTTAAAACAATTTACATTCTGTAAGCTATGCACATCTGGACACAAGATCAAAGAAAACACCTGCTCTTGATTTCCCTTTATGGTTTTAATTGCATGCAGACTTTAGGCCAAAATTAATAAACGAGAATTGAAAAATGAATAAACTAGCGGCATATGCTGTTTTCATAAACTGCTAAACAAAACATCTTTGCTGGTAGCTGTCCCACGATCCATTTTTTAATTCTGAATTTGTAATAATGAATTTTGAGAGTCATGATACAGGAACAAACATGTTTTGCTCTGATTATTCAAAAGGGGAGCAAGTGGCTTCTTTCATGATGCTGGGAAACCAAAAGCAGCTTTTCCTTGTTGTGCTCCATGTGTAAATAAGTAATGATTTAGGAAATACAGTGAATGTTGTCATGTCCATGCTCTCAAGATAGATACACGTTTTTAGTGGGTGCTGCACTGCTGCCAGGTTTGTGCAAACGCCTTTTAGAATAACACAAACGAATTACAAGACCATGGTCAGATTTTTATATATGTAACTATGTGGACTCCAGTTTCCGCATCTGGAGGATATGAGACAAATCATTATGAAGCAAATGACATGCAAAGTGGTATGAAATTTATGAGTCAAAAAGCTTCTGGAGTAGCAAATTACTTTCCAGGGTAATCTTTCTGCCAAGAGCTATAGCTTTTATTTCCTTCTCCCTGCCCCCTTTTTTTTTTGGAGGGGGGTTTTGGAGGGTGGGGATGAAGGAGGATAGTTAGAAGAACAAAATTTTAAACAAATCCCTAACAAAATATTCCTCTCTTCTGCTGACAACTCCTGGCTAAGTCTGATGTATGTTTTTTATTTTCAGTGTTAAGACAAGACAATAATACCATTCCTTCATTTTAGAAGATTTTTGGCAGCTTTTGCATTGTTTACAAGACTAACACAAATTGTTCTTTTAGAAGTTTTAATTCTTCTGTCATACTCTCACAATGCCTTTAATTGGCAGAGAAAATATATTTAAATAATAAAGTGGTGAAAAACTGACAAAAGCTGGAAATCAAAGCTAAAATGACAATTGCCTGCAGAGCACAATAGCGTCACTGAGACAGAAAGTCTTAAAAAACCCCTAACAACAGGAATTTGCATTGTAAATACAATTCTGACTACAATGTAGTGTCACTGTCTGCCCCTGTAATTAAGTTTCTTCTTTACCTTCAATGTCTCAGACATCTGGAGATCAGCAGCAAATCACTCCTGAGGCTTTTTACCTAGATAACGTTGTTCCCAAGGTTTATATCTCATTCTTATAGTAGATTCTAGTTACCATAAGAATAAACAGGGTTCTTAAAAAATAATATGAGCCAGATCTTCTCCCATTGTATCCATGGGCAATACAGAGTAACTCCATAATTTCAGTGGAATTATTCCAGATCCAGAGTTTGGACCAAACGGAGTTTTGCCTTTACACCATAGAATGTGGGTTCACGGTTGAAGGCTTAGACAAGCTCAGCTGTCCACAGGGCTCTCACACTACAGGGAAAAGCAGCAAGGTTGCTGGCTATGTGCCACATTTTCCATCCAATTTATGCCTTAACTGTTAAATTAGCAAAGAACTTGGAATTCATTAACTTCTAGGAGACGAGTCAGTAGCAGCTGCATTTTGAAGAAGGTTGCCTCAAACTTTAAAAATGTATTCCTTCTACATATGCTGTTTCTTCACAGTTTATCATTGCCCATTAGCTAATAACAGCAGCAGGTTGCTGGTGGTTTAGTTTCTGCTTAAGAAATGATGCCACCAAATGTTAGAAGAAGAAATCAGTAAGTTAGCTCTTCTGCTGAGAAATGTGTGGAATCAAGCTCCTGTTGAGCAAGATAAGGGCTGCATTAGCTCTCAGCAGTTGTCTGGTGGTGTTTGCATTACAGAAGCAGCACGTTATACTGAAAGGTAAATGCCTGACTCAGTTTATTTGCTGCCTTGTCAGGAAGAAGAACTTCTGAAAACTTAATAGGATCATTCATGTATCTAGCAAATTTAAGATGTCTAAAGTTATGAATATTAATACCGGGCAGATGGAGGCACTTGAGCATGTTAAGAAGAATGGTAAAGATATTCATAGCAACAAACTTGTTTTGATCCTACTGAATATGAAAACAGGTGTGGCTACAAAATGTTCTGTCTTCTCCCAGCCCAATGTCCTTGGCACTGGCTGAAGACCCAAGCTCTCCAACAATGACCTCTATATTTGCATGGCTCAGGGCTGTGCTGCTGTGGTGGGGAAGAAAAGGGTTTCTTTCCAAAAAGTGCCCCTGTGGCTCGGATAGTGTACTTACCAGGATCATCATATCCACAGATATTTCTGTAACACAACTGCTTGGCACGTACTGAGCAGGTTTTGGCAGGTATCAGGCAGGAGTGAATGCCTGGACCTGACTATATGTCAGGTGAGCTCTGGTCTAGGGTAATTTTGTCCAATTCAGCATTTTTCGTATTAAAGCTTTCATCGTTAAACACACAGACTTTGTCAAGATAACAGCTTAAACATCTGTAACTCTTCATGAGCAAATGTGACTGAAAAGCTGCAGACAGAGGTTCATTTTTCTTTCTATTTCTAAATGATGGCTTTTACGATAACTGTTAGATTATTGAGCGTCTGAAGTTTTCTGGATTCTGAACTGCGCATATTTTAAAGATATAAACAGCCTTTTGTTCAAAGCGGCTGTGTTTTACGGACTAGATACAGACACTTCCACTTGTCTTAGTGCAACAATTTCTTCTGATTTAGTATCTATAAAATTCCTTTCTTTTCTCCTTTTCCAATGCAGTGCTACTTCATTTTTAACAGCAGCATTTACAGTGAATACAGACACAATAACTGTATTATTCCTGGACCAAATAATAAAACTTACCTTGTTTGATGGGCTGCCGATTAGAGAAGGTGAGAGGAGTAACAAGGAATTTGGTTTCAGCTACCTGTACCCAGTGGTGCAGAATTTTTATCGTCCAGACACCGGGTCGCAGGGGCAAATTCAAAGGTGGTTTGTAGTGAGTAAACTCGGCACTGGATTCAATGAGAATATCGTATGTTGCTGCAATTACATTAACAGGATCCACCCAAATGACAGTAACGGTGACGTTAGGGCCTTTTCCCCATTTCTGCATGCCAACTGGCTCATCTGTTGGCCCCAGGAGTCCTCCGAAATTCCGGAAAAGCCTTTCCTTGGCGTCCCATTCGGTGCCAATCTGAAATCAAAGACCACATTGCTGCTAACATCATCTCTGTAAGCAACTAAGACCCTTATGTCAGATAAGGGCTCTCAAGACGCACAAATCATATTTCTCTAATGACATGAATTATGCATGCATATAGAGGCTGACGGCAACACAACCTAAGATCATAATGCGTACACAAATTGTGAGACAACCTTGAACTCAAGGCTTGTTTTTTTGGTACAATTGTCCACTTTTGATTGATATACAGGTTTTCTTTACATTAAGAGTGACATAACAGGCTAGAGCAGCTCTCCTTTTCCTCTACATAGAAGCAGTCAATAAAGGACCAAGCCCAGTGGCCGAATACAGGCTATGCACAGAAAGAAGTACGACCCATCATCTCTTGGGTCATGAAAATGTATTATACATTTGAGAGATGGACCCTGCAGTAGAGACCTACCCAGTAACTGCTAAGACCAAGGAAGAGGCTTTTGTTGACTTCAGGACAAGTCAGATCAGGTCCCTTCTTACAATCTGTCCATGAGGTGCTGTCTCCTTGCACTTCCTTCTTGCCTGATGTGGAAAGTTACTTTCGGTAAATTCTTTTCTTACTGTCACAATAGTGACATTGTTTTTAATTTATTCACTAACTAATGGTAAAGCAGCAGATTCACAGTCTAGTGTAAATATTTCATTGATCTTTCTTTTTCCTAGCAGCTTTCATATTTCAGTGCTCTTTATATGAATTTTAATGGTTCACCCATAATCACAGGATGATGCCAATGCATAAGCTGTAACACTTGTACACTACTGAAAATAAGCATCTCTACACAGATAGCATGAAAATGTAGTAACTGGCCTTCTTAGGCAAACTGAAAGACTTTTTACTAACCCAGCACTAAATCTAGCACGTGTTTTTGAGGCCGATCGTTAATACCATCAATTCTCAAGAAGGCGGCCTGGTGAAGCACAGTACTGAAGGATCCAGATTTGCTTTTGGAGGAAATGCCCACCTCGCTTGTCCCATGATCTCAAATCAAGAGTGATCAATATAATACACAAAAAGATCTGAGTTTTCTGAAGTGAAGAACAGGAGAACCCCTTGGCTCCTTTTGGCAAGCAGACATCTGACATCATTCCTTGGAGAGACACACAGATGTTATGGCCAGCCCCACACTGAAACCACCCTGGCCTGTTTTTCCTGGGATAGAATCATAGATGCAGTTTTCTACTCAGCAAACCTGCATTTTTGAGACTACAGCACTTGATTTAGTGGGAACAAAGTCGATAAGACACTATGGTTTAGTTTGTGGCCAGCGCTGGTATGCTGGTTGCCATAGGTCAAGGTCTTTAGCAGTTTTGAGTTAGGCAGGTGCAGAAGCTGTGGGCAGCAACAGCCAAGGCAGATGACTCAAGGGGGCCAACAGAACTATTCCATACCATAAACATCGCACTCACTATAAATTGGGGAGTTTGCTGGGGATGGTCCTACTTCCCCAATGGCCTCCGCTCCTGGAGGGTCTTGCCTGCTGTTCTGCTCCCGAGGCCTACTCCTCTGCGCGCTTCTACCACTATTACCGACTAATTTTGTGTATTTTATTTTAATATTGCTATTAATACTGGGTTTTGTTATTATTATTTTATTAAATCTGTTTCTATTTCAACCAATGGGTCTCCTTTCCTTTTCCCAATTCCCCTCCCCAGGTGGGAAGGAGTCATTGAGTGACAGAACAACTGTATGAACAATGACAGCCTCATAGTCCTTCAGGTCTTGTTTGGCCTTGCTCTCCAAACAAACAGTGTAGATGACCTAAGAGCTGATTTGGGAATGGCTGAACCATGGGATTCTCTCAAGTGGTCTCCAGAAGCCCATGCACACAGACAGGATCCCCTCTTTCGGCAGATATGGCTATTAAAGATTTCCCCAACACAGAGCTGTCCTTTGTCCCTAATATTCACCTCACACAGGCATGGTCAGAACCCACTTTCCTGAAAGCGGAACAAGTAATTGTAGCTCATTTGCTTCAGAGATTTTCCTTCTAGATGTCATCTCATTTTATGAGAACAAGCAGCTGCAATATAATGCCAAAATCTCCCCAAATCCATAAAACATAACAATTACCTGATGCCTACCACTACTGATACCTGTACTGGAAACTGTCCAATCCCCTGTCCCTTCTACATAAATCACTGTGGTTGGCAGCCAAATTACAGGAGGACTGAGAGCAAAAAGCTACAGGGCCAGTAGAATAAAAACCTACCATCCTAAATCCATCTGTCATCATCCGAATTCCTCCTACTGGACTATGACACTGCAGAATATGAGACAAAATGAGCCTTCGCTACTCTGCAATCAACACAGCAGAATCGCTGGTATTTCAGAGGTATTTCACCTAGCACAGCAGCTAATCAAATGAGACAGCATAGCCCAGATATCAGACCCAAGCATCGACTGCCTCGAGGAGCTGTCAGTACATACTCTCCTGACAAGACCAGCTGAATATGTATGGAAATAAGCTGAGAAAGAAAATTTCCTGACCAGATCTTATTATCTGCTCCACCAACCCTCACTGAGTGCAGCCATGTCACACCTACCCGAGCTCAAGGGATCTGGAAATACTAAAGCCACAGCATGTGAAACAAATCTACAGCCTCCTGGGGAAAGAAAACCCTGTAAGGAAGCTCTTTCCACCACATGTATTATTTCTTACTGAAGAACTCCTTGAAGAAAACTTACTTAATCCTCAAAAATTAAACATTCATCCCCAACATCCAACTACTTTCCCCTCTTTAGTCTCTCATCTCTGGGAAAAGAAAACAAAGTTACAACTCCTGTGCTCCAACCTCCAGGCGGTGCTGCTCTACACCAGGGTGCACAAAAGATGCTGAGAAGCATTCACATGTGTAAAAGTTTATTAGAGCAGTGTGTAGAAGAGCAAAGAGCAATTGGGGGAAAATTATAACAAAATTGCTGGCTGGGTGTTAAAGTTTGTGCAGGCATGTTATTGGGTTCCCTAACTTAAATCAAAAGGTGAGAGAAGAGGGGGAGGAAGGGACAATTCTCATGCTGGTGGCAGCTGTCCCCCATGCGAGCCTGTCACAGCACCACTGCCAGGGTGTGCAGGTCCATGAAAACAGCACAAAACTGAGAAGAAAACACTGCCACAGAGCAACACCGCCCCTGCCCTCAGCAACAAAGGCACCGGGGCACCCTGTGACACCCTGCATGCCTCAGCGCTGGGGCTCGGACCAAGACAAGGTGCTGACACTGCCGGAGGCTGTGCCCCACAGGGACCTCAGGAAGGGACGGGCAGGGAGCTGCACGCTCTATTTACAGGATCTGCCCTTATGTTCAGTTTCCAGCTGGGGTACATACTTTCCCATACTGCACATATTGCAGTACAAGCTGGTTTTAGAAGCACAATATTTTAAAGGAATTTTACTGAAAGCACTAGTTAGAGGTTTATAACTCTTCCCTTGAACTCTACACAGCTGAGTTCCCAGCTGAGATGTCTGATTTTACACACCAAAAGATACTACAGTCCTGTATTATTTTTCGTAGTGCCTTAAAACATTGTAAGTAGGCTTTCACTTTCAAATGGAACACACAGAGTATGGGATGGAATCAAGCAGTAATGAATATCTGATAAATTATGAAGAGATGTGGCACAGAAACTGACATTTTCCACATCATTATTTTAATCACCACAATTTTGGGCTTCAAGCGCAGGCAGTGCGCACAGGGTACGTTTTGAAAGCTGCAACTTTCATTGGCTTAAAACTCCCGTTTCTATCTCTGTTCAGTCTCAAGATAAAATTTTCCCAAGATAAATTATGCCTTGATTATGGGTTTGTGTCTCATTGCTCACCACAAACAGGACCATTAGGTTCACACAATGCACACTAATTGCCTGCCACCTAGTTTATTTTATTCTCTGGGATGAATCACAAGTCTTAACAAGACCAGAAATGAACTTAGTGTTCAACTGATATATGCTGAGCTGAGACTTTTAGTACTGTACAGCAAATCAATCGTCTGCTCTCCATGTAAATTTGTCATGAACCTAGGCTGGTAGGATACATACTGTGTGCACAAGTCAATTTTAGGAGATGTGGGAGTTTCATGCTTGGAAATAATCTCTCGTATTTCCTGCAAGTTTATTTTCTTTTACTCAGTCCAAGACCGAGCGCAGGAGCCATGTGTGCCATTGAAAGGCTATCATCAACCCCACTGGCCACTAGCAGCCCAGTCGGCTGATTTTTCCCACTTGTCTTTAGGTGGTGTATGATGAAATCTGTTACTTGGGAAGCAGAGTCTGAGAAGCAAAGCAAAGGAACAGAGGGCAGGAAGGGCTGACTGGAGAGATCCAATCGTCTCTGCTGAAATTTCAGTTGTGCACCAGGGTCACAAATACACCCAGGAGCACATTCAATGTGGCATATTTGTGCTCTTTCTGCCAGCCCCATTTGTGTGAGCTGGGAGAGGGAAGAAAGCTCCCAGCTAAAAAAGCTCCATTCAGTTTTAAATTTTTGCAGGATCATGGGGTGAAAGTTGTTGAAAACCCAGCAGTTATATGTCCCAATAAGCACAAATCTTAAGTTTCTTTTCTGGCGCTTAACCTGCAATCACTGATGCCCTCATTTTGGCTGAACTGCTAAGTTTGTTTTACACTTGCTGGACTTTGACAAAGAAGTGGCATTTTAATAAGCAGTAGCAGATCAGAGGCTTTCCAGCCACACTGAAGCTGAAGAGGCTGATGCTAGATTTACACCGGGGTAACTGAGAGAATAATTTGGCTCAGAGGCAGAGATGCCTGCAGGCCAAGGGAAGGCAGAATGTAAAATAAACAATGAAGAAATGACTAAATGATTTACTTTGTACCTCCTGGTCTTTTAAAATGTGAATTATCTATGAAAGGAGAGGACAATTAAAAAGTTTAGGCAAGGAAAAAATAGTGAAAACAAGTAAGCAGCCACTGAAACTGCTTTTGCGTGTTTCAAATGGAAGAAAACATCTCAGCCTGAAAAAAGCTCGCCAGTGATTAAATCCTTCCCATGCTTTGCATTCGCACAGCTTCACTGCAGCAGCAGCTCCTGCAGGGCTGCTTACAGCCCAGCCATGGTCTATGAGGCCGTGGGAGCGGCTCATTAGTCCCGCGGGATCTGGGGATTCTCCCTGCAAGGCGACACACTCCACAGAGCTGTGGGCACAGCACGGCGAGGAGGCCACCAACATGGTCCCTATTCCCCTGTCAGGGGTGGGGCTGACACTGGGCACTGCTGCGTCAGGACATCCATCAGTCAGGCTCATGCTGCAGGGCTGGTTTTGTGCATAAAAAGGTGCACTGGGGACAGACAGGACCTGGCACATGGCCAGTGAATAAATTCTGGTTCCGGGTCTGTTTTCCCGCTACAACTGCAGTGAAGTCAGATGTATTCTTTCCAAATATTTTTGAGTTCTAGAATATATATTTCAATATGTATTTTCAATATAGTTATCACACAAATAGGAAAACTCTTCCTGCTGCCAGACCGGTTGCTTTCAAAAGAAGGACCCAGAGCAGGCGACAGGAGGAAAGTGAGATTAAAAGTACCAAATAAACAGCAGAAATACTACTACAAATCACAAGAATTAAAGCTTGTATGACCATCTATCACTGCATGAAATGGCAAGCCTACCCTCAGACACATTGATAAATGAAACACACTTTCCATCCATCTCTTTAATGGCACATTAGTGTCATGGATTGGCCATGCACACCAAAACACTGAACCCTACCTAGGCATTTCTTAATTGCCCAAGAAGATGGTAATTTATGGACTTGGCCATAAGGACTGGAACACATTTGTTCAATCAATTTTATACCTTAATTGAAATTTGTGGCTTAACAAGAAAAATCGTGAAATTAACTGCTCAGTTATATCTTTAAAACAGAACACAGATGTCAGGTTCTATTAGTGGTCAACTTTTCTGATATATTTTAGGGTACATTTTTTACACTTTATGTCAGATCCTGAGACAAATTTCTAGAAGAAATAACAGGATTTGTGGGAAATCTCAGCCACCACTGTGATAATTTTCTCTTTTGTGTTACAACCTCAATATTCTGCTCGCATGTGGCATCAATGCCCGACTGTCACTAATTTTATAAGGTTTTTTTCAGTTTACCACATTCCCGTTCACATTTGAAGCTGCAGAAACATAGCAATTTTCCCAGGTATCTCTCACAGCACTCACAATAATCAGTCACAAAACTTTTCAAGTTACTGAGTCCCTTTTATAACAGTAAATGCCTCCAGTTTGTTCTTAAAACAACAGGGAGTGAGGACACTCAGAGTAATGTAAGAAGTGAGGGTTGACCACAGATCTGAACTGGCAACAGTATCTCCTTCACTGATGAGGATGTGCATTATGCTAGAGAGCTGCTCTCACCTAAAAATTACATGGAAATACAGTTTACCAAGACTGCTGAACTGGTATGCAGTCTCTCCAGAGGCTTGTGACATTGTGCATAGGTGGCTAGGAATACTTACCTCTGAGAACTGCAACCTTCCAAAGTCACTTGGTGGACTTGCAATCTTGAAGACTTTCTTTGGCATCACCCACGTTTCCAACGTTTCTAGTTTACTGACAGCCAGATTAGTTGCATGGTGTCTGATTAGGAAGCCTTGGAAACGGTCAGCAAGGAAGTAGAGGTGGACAGAAACCGGATGGCCCATGGGGTAGTATCTGTAAAACAGCACAATGTTCCTCAGTTACACAAGAGAGACATAAAATCTCCATTTACTTGGAGCTAATGGCTTGAGAGGCATTAATTTCAACTAGAAAATTCACCACTGTACATTAAGAGATTTCAAATGTGCTCATGACTCATTATCAAATATTCTTAGGCTGCTCTGATTACCCTGAAACATAAAAAATGTTACTAAGAATATATGCTCATTTAGAAGATATTCACAGGTCTAAGCTCCTTAGGAGACACCTCTGTGTGCCAGAAAACTCCCCTCCCTTACTACCTCTTCTGGGCAAAAAGTGACACCCAGAGACAGACACTGCTGGGCTGCAGCACTGTTTGCTAGGCTAAATGATGCTCAAGAAATGTCTCTATTGCTCCAAACCAGGTGGCTTTCTTTTTTTCAGCCTCCAGCAGGGTTTGTCCCTACAGCTGCCGGAAGTGGCAGTGGCTCCCTCGTTCGCTGCGGGACAGCAGCAGCCTGGGGACAGCAGAGGGTGCTGCGAGGCTGGGTACGGGTGAGATGATGACCCGCTCCATTCCCTGCATATAAATCTGATCCCCAACCGATTCTCCAAGGGCAGTGCTCTGTAGTGTGGCACTGCAGAGAAGGACACTGGGATTTGGTCCCCATTTTAGGTATCCTTTATTTTTAGGAAATAAACTTCACATTCCTTAAAGAATTAAGGTTGCTTCTGCCGTGGATTTTTTACTCATAATTCAAATTAAACTGAAAAAAGGTCAATCAAACAGGAAAAATGTCTCATTGGGAGATTTGGAAGCCTTCAGTTACAGTTTGGATTTTAGAGACATTGTAGTCATGGTTTCAAATAATTAAAATTTATGGTCAGTTGTCAGCTATAGTCTCAGAAACATCTATAACGATGTTACATGTACATTATTTATGTATACACATGGATACATAAATAATTTAAAACACGTTTTTCATAGGTGTGAAATATTTTGCTACTTTACAGCACTGACATTAACTGAAACCAGTGTGTTTGCAATATGTTTAAAACCAACCGGTATCACACCTTTCCAGTCAAGTCAGCTAAGTCCGATTGCTTGTGCTAGTTACTGCATCTCAAGACATAAGCACTCTGAGGAGCTAACCAAGAGGGACTTTCCATTACATCGAACAAGCTACACCCAGAAGGAAGTCTCTAGGACCTGAGAAATAAATAAAACAAGACAGGATACAAACAGGACCAGCGGTGATGGACTGAGCAAAACCACAGTAAAGCTACACAGCCAGTACCAGTGACAATCTGACTTCTGTTCTGCGTACTAAGGCCTCCTGTTTTATGTGTGTGCAGCAGCAAATATTTACAATATCCTTGAAATAGTCTGAGTAAATTATCTCTTGGCAGCAGTGAGTAAGAATGCCCAGAGATGGAGAGAAATAAATTAAATCTCAATCACACATTAATGTTGCTTCCACTGAAGATGCTGATATACAATCTAATTTGGTACCAGAGCAGTCTGCAGGGGGCACAGCTTTCTGAGACTGTGAGCGAGCCCTTGTTAGAAAAGTGTGCTGGGCAGCTTCTCCTATAAAAGTCTCCTGAGCCGCAGCGGGTGGCAGCATGGGATTGACTTCAAATGTGATCTGAAGCGGTGGAGGCTTTCCTCGCAGTGCCTGCAGCAGTGTGAAATGAGCTGGGGTGGTGACTGCAATATCAGCTAACTTCATGCTGCTGTTAGCCCCAACAGCAAAGGGAATACCGTCAAGGTGCTCAGCCCAAATATATCCCTGACATTACTGCATTAGAGACATGCAAAATCACAAGAGGGAAAGAGGAAGCAAATATATAAATACACCTTGATAGACAATGGGGTATTAAGAGAGAAGAGATGCAAATCATAAACCTGAGGATTATCCACCTTTCTGTGATTGAAATTGGACACTGACTCACAGTGTTTTGAGGGGGCTCAGGTAGGTATGAAAATGAAGCCTTCACTCCATATCACTGTTTGCAGTTCCTCCCTGCACTGTTTCATGAGGCTCCAGCCTACTGTAAAGGAGCCACGCTTTATACTGGAGACAGCTGCAATCAGTGGTGGATGACATGGCTTCCCTATCTATAATCTGAGCAAGCTTGAAAAGCACCTTGAGTTCCTGTGCAACGAAAAGCTTCCCAGAAATTAAACTGATTATTGATATAAATCATCATCAGAACAATGGCAAATGGAATAAGCCCAAAAGTAATTGTCAAATGACTTCAGTACTGGTTATACATACCTCCCATCCTCTCTGCTGGCTTCACTCTGCAGGACAAATGACCCAGGACTTCTTTAGGTCTGCCTTTATTTCATATGAGAAAGGTATGCTACCAGTGATGATTTCTATCTAATTGTTATTGATCTTTTATTGCTTTGCACTGGTAACCTCTACTGGCAAAGCTGTAATAGGCATCTGGATCACTTATTGCCACATCTTTCTAAATGAGGCATTGTTCAGCACTTCCATGACTAAGCGGGAAGGTCAAGGCCATTGAGTTCCCTCTCCAGAACACAAGAGGGGTAAAGTCCATCTGTCAAAGCACAAGCAGTGTCTTCAGTATTTGCTGACTTTGGCTGCATGTGTTTTCTATTAGGATAAAAAAGGCAGGGTCCAAAAAATATATTCTGAAGAAGGAATTAAGATACTGTAAAGTAAGACTTTAAAAGATGAACCCTCTCTGCTTTGAAGGTAAACAGCTTCAGATGTGATTGCAGGCAGCAAACATCTGCCATGAAGAGAGACTTTCCTATGCAAGTCTAACTCCAGGAATTCTGCCTTCAAATCCTTCTTAGACTGAACTATTCTTTGCTAGGCTTATAGGCAAAAAAGGAATCTAGAATACTGCAGGGTTTTCCTTTAAAGAATAAGGACCTTTATTTGCTATATATATATACATTTATACATTCACAGATTTTATTTATTCGATGCTAATGGATCCCATCAGTTGCAACACTTTTGGCACAGACAGCTGTACCAAGCAAGCAAACTGAGCTTGAGCATGTAGTTCTCTGTACTCCTTGTATGCACCCAGGGGAGCAAACAAGCAAGGACCATTAACCTGCCTGTGTTTAGATTAATTCTGAAATCCTGTCCTCTGCTTTTGGTAAGCATAATAGAGGCGAACATGACCTCTGCTGCAATCACACGAAGGGTTTAGGAGCTGTGGGTATAATACACTTGCTGAAATTAATCAAGCAAACACAGCAGTGGGGGCAGCACTGCCCAACTGGATCCTGTCAGTCTTCATCAGGCTGGAGAGGAGCTCCTTAAAAGTGCAGCAAACGGGTCACATAATGTCAACTCTGAATAACCAATGCTTTATTATGGGCATAAATACTCCTGGAAATAAGCGCCGTACACTTGCAGCTGTCTGGCCCTGTTTGTAACAGTATGCTCCAGCCAGATGAACCTCTGCTGGCACTTGGCAGTCCAGTCTGCGTCCCCAGAAACACCCAGAAAACGACAGAAAGACTCAGACTGACCGGCAGCTGTTGTCTCCAGCAGCGTGGAATGAAGTCTCGGCTCTCTGCAGGCCCAAGCGGGAGAACGCATGGTACATGGTGAGGGCAACATCGCTGAGAGTGTGCACGCCATCAGGTTCATCGTACACGTTCTCCCAGTATGACCGAAGGCCAGGTGTGCCAGATGGGTAGTTGCCATACAAGTAGTAGTCCAACTGGCCAATTATCTCTTGATTCACTACAGCTTCAAATTTGCGGGCAAAGAAAGTAGGCCTGGCAGTCTGCTGTGGTGATATGAAAGGAAAAGACATTGGAGTGAGTTCCCATTTTCAGCCATGACACTTTGTCCTAAGCAGTGGGTTGGAGCTGAGGACATGAACTGGTTCTCCCACTGGCAAGAGTGACTTTGTGACCATTTGTCATTAAGAGTGTTGTTAAAGTTCAGATAAAATCTACACAATTACACATTGAAAACATAGGTGTGTCAGTCCCTTCATATCAACAGCCACCCCAACAAAAAGCAGGCAGCCTTGCTCTGAAAGGCTCTCCCTGTGTCGGTGTACACTGGCATGTGTTATTAGCAGTCAGGCAGAGAGCAAGGCATCTTGCGGCACAGGGGTTTAGATGAGGCAAAGCAGCACTTTGCGTGTATGAATTTGCTGCTACGAGGTGGTAAGAGGACTCTGTGAGAAGCGCTATCTGTGGCTGAGGTTTCTCAGCTTCTGACTGGTCCTGTAGACTTTTTTCTCTGCACTTGACACAATCTTGGGTGTATTACTGGTTTATATGCTACTCAACTACCACTGGCTTTTAAAAAGCCTTTGTTTTGTCTTGCTTATATGGGGGCATGGGTTCTAAGGTGCCAAGGAGTTCAGAAGTGCCCCAGATGGTTGAAAAATTCTTTTGAGGATGCTCAGTTTCACTCTGAGACAGTGCATGCCATGGGCTCTCTGATCTCCTCCTCTGCAGCTTGCTTTGTGCCTCCATGGGAACTGTGAGCAAGCCTTCTGGTGCAGTGTGTTCATCTGAGGGGCTCTCTCATCAGGCAAGTGTCAGAAGTAGCCTTTACATCTATTCTGATTTTGAATTTTCCCTTGCAGCTCAGTTTACCTGATTGTTTTCTGAAATGTCACTGCGGGTTGTTTTCCCAGCCTGCAGCAGGTCAGTCTCTGCAGATTGGCAGGAGTTTTTAAAGACTTGCCATTTATTCTGTGCTGGAGACTCCTGGGATTGGTGTTTGGGGCAGCAGAGCCTCTCTTAGATAATGTCTCATTTGCTCTTTTTGCGAGGCCCGTGTCACTGACTTCAACTGTGCCTGGTAGGCAGCACATTACAATAAAGAAAAGATCTCTGTTTTGGAGCAGTCATCATTTTTGTGCTGTAGGGTAACACATTCCCCATCCCACACAAAGCCTGAACAAACATGCTTTATGCAGGGAACCCCGAGGAGCTGCAAGGATGGAATTGCAAATCTGGTGACCTTGAAACAAGCGGTTGTTCATTCTTAATAGAAGATACACAGGCCAGATACAGTCCTGAGACCGGATGCACCCTTGGCCACAAGGATTTGCTCTCATGTCTGCCTTGAGGAAAGTGTATCACAAAGGAACAGATTAAACTTTTTAAGGCAGTCCTGCCAAGCCAGTGTGATTGAAACCTCATGACTCCAGTCATCAAAAACATGAGATAAACCTATTTCTAACCAATTTGGTAAATATAATCACAAAAACTGATTTGTCTTGTGCTATGTATGCCTCTAAGCAGGCACTCTAGTCAACTCTTTAAGCTTTTTTCAAAGATGAGAAACACTGCTCAACATTGAAAGCCAGGAGCTTCATGAAATAATGAAAATACCCGAGCTGGAACTTTGAAAAAAGCCCTTTGCAATAAATTCACAAGAATTAGGAAGCAATATTGGTAAAGGGAGAGATGTGTCAAGTTTCCCTCCTTTCTAGCACAGCAGATCTACCAATGCCAGGTAGTCCAGAGAACTGCTTTGCGACCTTACCACGCACTGGTAACTCTCAAGGGCCAAAACACAGAAGAATCAATCTCTTCTCCTGAAGTTAAGAGCAGAGCTTTCTCACACCTTTCTCCACCTTGCTTGATGGGTTAAAAGCTTCCCTTCCTGCCGCCTGCTGCAGCCGTGCAGTCAGACGGCTCTCCACACCCCAGCAGAGGGGGTGGAGCGTCTTTGTGGCTATCGGAGAAGAGACCGCCTCAGTTACCTGGAATCGGTGGAAGTCTGCTGGTTTGAAGTCATTAGGTGAACAGCCACACCAGTCAACAATGTGCTTGTACTGACACTTGCAACCGAGTTTACGGTTCCAGTTTGTGATGCGCAGGTTGTTGTCCACCATGGAGTCACAGTACGGGCTGTTTTCCAGAACAGTGTGAAAGAAGGACTTCAAGAAAGACAGAGCAGATCAGTACATTCAGCTCACCAGAATCCCATTTTCTTCTTCACTTCAGCCCCATGGGCCTGAACCTAATGCAGGGGACTTAATTTCTTTTGATAAGAAACTTTACAGTTTCTTTAACAAGCTCTATTATTCTGCCATATATGAAAAACACACTACATATGTGCATTCTATACAGCATGAAAAAAATCACAACATGCTATAGACCTATCCAAACTGTAATTACATACAGTTGAGGCCTTGCTACAATAACTTGGCACAGAATAACTGGACTTCTGCAATGACCAGCTTTGGGCATTGGAAGTCCAAAAGACTCCAGGAAAGGCACCAGTGCCAGCAATTATTTTATTTTTATTTCAGCTGTATGAGCAATTCTAAGGAATTCCCACTATTTCTCTTCAGTAAGTCACTTTCTGGTCTAACAGACTCAGGATTCTTTTCCTGAGCAATGTGCTTATAATATATCTCAAGTTGTTTGCTAAGACAATTCTCAAGCCTTCACCACCACCCTGGTAACAATATAAAAAATACAGTCACAAAGAACTTTTCTGTGGGTGTCTCTATCTCCAGCACTCTGAAATGCACTGCTAGTTAAATGGCCTTCTTTGGAAATATACAGTTCACCCCAGGCACCAGAATGACATTCTGCCTCCTGCAATTATGTCTGAAATCATAAGTCTTTAATTGCTGACTCAAGGCAGCAAGGAATTCCTATTGGGCTATCCTAATTGTATCATCACAATATCAGCTATTACATAAATCATGTGTAATGGGAACTGATATAGCAGGTTAACAGGTCAGTGAATGCAGGGTGATTTTAAGAAACCAGTTATACATCTTGCAAAGAAAATCTTGCAGAAAGTAGCTATGGAACACGATCAAATTTAGCCCTTTAAGAGATGATTTTTGGAGCAGTGACTTCTCTTTAAAATCAGCAATAGTAAACTCTATAAATAGCAGCATAACGTTAGCATGGCTGGCCCCCAAATAATCCCCCTACCCTTTTTAATGTTAAATGACAGCCCAGTGAATATGGATTTTATGCTTGAACTGTTTGGTTAAATCCATAAAGGCATCCATTCTCATTCAAGCGAGAGAGGAAAAAAAACCAAACCCTACCCAATTACCCATTGCCCTGTGTCCTTTTGTAACGATACAGAAATTTCTCCTAGATAATGGATGAAAAGGTTATCAGAGTTGAGAGAAAAGGTGGTTTTAACAGAAATGGGATTAAAGCAAGATTATTTAACATGTGCGTGGAATAATAAACCCTTATCAAAAGCCTAGGTTTATAAGATCAGTCTCATCATTCCCTGAGAATGTTCAGGGGCCACTAGCGAGGCAGGATTTTGTCATTTTAAAGACTGTCATCAGGTCTTCCTTGGGATGGCTGCAGGCTACGTATCCTGGGAGCAGAGCCTGAGGAGGGAGGGGAGCAGGGCACTTGCCAGGGCAGGTGCAGCACAGACTGACAACCAGCCAGGCTCCGCGTGCGCATCTCCCTGACACACTGCTGCATGCTGACGAAAACCCATCATGGTGTGCACTCCCCTTCTGCATCACTTGGAGCCAGAGCAATTCCTGAGTGATCTAAATGATTTGTGACGATGCCTTCTAGTGGAGTTTTGAACAGAACAATAAACCTTTGTTTGTAGGGTTTTATTTTTAAAGAAAAGGGCTGGATAATAGGGAGGAAAGCTACTTAGGAAGACAATTTGCCATCTCTAATAGCCTTCAAAGACTTTGTGGAGGAACAATTTGCAAGCAAAGGGCAGCTGGATTTTTGGTTGTTCAGTAATAGATTAATAGGCTTAAAAGTATAAAACAAAGCCACTCCCTGCAAAAAGGTCCCACAAACAAACAAAGCAACTAAACAACTGCACAAGTAGTTCTAACACTAAAGGACTTACTTGTCAATGGGAGCAAAATTCTCATTACCCACTATGGGATGATCCAAAGTCCACCGAAATCAGGTGAAAGCCCCTCTGACTTCAGTGATCTTTGGGACAAGCACAAACATTGCCGTTTTGAACGCCAAGGGGGACTGTTTTAAATTCACATACCTCAGCAGGAAGCAACGTGTAAGAGTAAAATCTCCTCATCTTTGTTACCAGATCATCATTGGAAAACGTGACATACTCCACAAACTTCCTGTTCAGCAGAAACCAGTCCGACCCTCCATCAACTGCGATTCCTTCTGGGATCCTCCGGTCCCCCAGGCGCCACATGTGGGTATCGCATTCCAGGAAAAGCCGATCCAAGCCTTGCTTTCTGATGAATCTGAGGGAATAAAAAAGCAGTCATTAAAGTTAATTTGTATTTTGTTATCATGACTAGCTCCATAAATAAAGAAGCTACTTTCTCAAAAAAAAAAAAAAAAGGATTAAAAGGTCAGTTGTTTCTATTTCTGTTTTACTCATAAATAATGTGGAGAGGTTTAATAAATGATTAATCAGTTATACGTTCAGTTATAGGGGCAAAGATCAACAGATTGCTTTTAAGCATCATTTACACCTTCTGCTGCCCTAAGACAGAACTGTGCAAGTTACTGAGCTGCATGGCATGAAAATACATCACGTTCATTAACACTTACCAAACCACTGCAGAAGAACTGTAACATGAACAGAAACTAAACACCATCTGTCCTATAGGCTTCTGTGTCTAAATAAATGCAAACTGTAAATAAAGGTAAAACTGTAAATAAAAACCAGCAAACCGTACATAAAGGTAAAATGTCCAATCTTCTCCTATGTTATTATTCCACATTTTTTTCTCTTGGAGCAGAGTTATTTAGGAAGAAATATATTTTCATCGCTCTTTGCTGTAGAATGAGTATATTTGCTCCATTTTCAGGTCTATGGGGAACATTGTTTTGTTACTGCTGAACTATGAATAAGAGGAGCAACTGCAGAACTGTGAAGTTATGGAAATGAACTATTTGAGACCGACATAAGAAAAAAAAAAAGTTGGAAAATCAATCTATGTTTGAAAACACTCTGGACTGGATGCCCACCATGTTTTGAGAATGTCTGAACCAGGTTTCTATTTGTTATTCTGTTTTCAGAATTATTTCCCAGAAAGGGAAGCAGGGCAGCCATGAATTAGCACATGCCTTTGTGAGTGGGGCTGAGCGCTGTTAAGAACGGTGAGTCGCTGTGTTGAACACATCCCACATGTTCTGAGCAATAAAAAACACCGGCTAACCAGACTGTTGTAGGAACTAACATCTTGATGGATGCAGGCTAACGAGAGCCATGGCACCTACAGTGAAGAGAACACTGTAGACCTGTGCTTCCTTCCTCAACAACACAGAGCTACACCAGGGTTCTTCGAAATCTTCCAGGAATAGGAAGCCAAGGAGACATTTTAGTGGTCAAACATGTGCAACCGAAGTAAGGGAAAAGAAATAAAAGTTAAGAAACACCACCAAAGCCTTCTGAAGGCCCGCGTCTGGAAACACGAGTGTTAACCCTGTGGGCTAACTCCCCGGTTAAAGCTTTGTTCTACACCAAAGAACTGCAACACAATTATGAAATGGTGCATATTAATTTTCAAAAGGACCGTAAATGACTTCAGGGTCTATGTCCTACTGATAGCTATGTCTCTTCTCACAGCATGAGAAGAGCAGCTCCTCTGTTAACACAACAGTGCAGAAAATGCGTAGATGAGAGTGGAGAAATTTTTCTTTCCATGAACAAGTTTCTAATTTCATGTTCCATTATGAAGGATAATAGAAAAGTCTTGCAATTTTAATGCAGTGCTCTGGAATGTAATCTTCAAATTCAATATTTATGCAGTTATCTCCAAATCAAATATTAATGTGCCTGAAAGTTTGGTCATTTATTTATTTCCCTCAAAACTAAATGCTCATTTGAGTTAATTATTTTAAGAAAATAATAGAATTTTATCGACCATATTTAAATAGGAACATAAAGTTCTTTTCCATGAAATAATTTCTTTCAACTGCTATCTCTACCAATTTATCAACCTTTATTCTAGCTTTCAAATAGAAGTTTATTTGACTGCAATAGAAATCCCCAAACAAAAAAAATCAAAACCAACCACCTCACCATTTCAAAACCCCCTCTACGTACAAGCCCCTCAGCCTGTATTAGATGATAGCTTACAGTCAACTAATAGCAGAAAGCTCAGTTATACAACTTCAGCCTTACGGTCTGAAAATGGCAACAGAAGAGTATGGTGACACTCAAGAAGGTCCCAGCAAATCTGGGCTCACAGCTTCATATTTTCCAAAACAGTTGACAGGCTCTTTTTTTGTGTATGTACACAGTTCTGTGACTTTTTTGAGCTAATAGCTTGGACAAGTGAATCTCAGCATATAGAGTGAAATAAGACAATTCCTGGGAGCACGACTGTCTTTACAACAAATCTCAGTCCTGAAATGCTATACAACAAGGTTATTAGAAGAAAATTAAAATGTACTTTCCAACCATTCATCCTCCAGAAAGGCAGTGTAGCCCAACTGAAGAGCAGCAACGCCTTTGGAGACCTGCAAAGAGATCACCCTTTTGCTAATGCTTCTTGAAACCTTGCTAAAACACCATATCAGGTTATAAATACCAGTAACAACAAAAAAGGAAGCAAGCATTTCTCAGAAGGCTCACCCTTTCTGGGCCTGCTTCACACACAGTCATTACACCTAAACAGAACAACACATTAGCATAGCCAACAAATTCCTTTAATTTATGAAGCAATAACTTATACAAGGGGCTTTGGAGATCCAGCTCTCCACTGGGCAACTGCTTGCTATCTGTTTCTGTTCCTTGGGAGTCCTGGGGACCAAGTACAGTTCAGACCTAGAAGCTGAATGCTCCTGCCTGAGGAGGCAGGGGGTCACCCCAGCATACCCAGGCTGTGCTGCTGGAACATGGAAAGCTGAACTGCAAGCCAAGTGGGTGGGAAAAGGTAGATGAGGCTTTTGGTTTTCTTTAACTCCAGACTCTGTTTGAGGATGACTGATGCTCCTAACTACTCCAGCACTAGCAATTTTGGCACTCAGGGAGGCATATTACTGTAAGCATATTGGATACTGCCTGAGGGAAAGGGAAAGGTGCTATTTGTATGCCACACAGGCCTTTTCAAGAGATCAAATCCCTCAAACACTACAAACAGTTCATAAAAATTCTTGACTAGCCATCCAACAACGCTTGCGGCAGCCGTCTCTGAAAAGAAAGATAAGAAGATGGACGGCAAAAGCATGACCCTACTGACTTGTTTCTAGTCTAATGTTGTGTTTCATCAGTTTCTGGTTATGCTCAATGTAATACCAAAATAATGCATTTTATGAAGGCATGCTAAGCTTCAGTAAGTAACGAAATGCAAAAAACAGCAATTTTTCCCTCAAGTCTTTTTCTCTTGGCTTTCACAGGACACCTAGCAGATAACTCCCAGATTAAAGTAGTAAAAATGCATTAGTAATAGCGTTTCATTAATCTCAGACAATGTGGAAAAAATAAAGTGCTTCCTGGCACCCTCAACTTCAGGAAGACCGGCACACCTCTGACAACTGCAAATATACTTGCCGGGACAATGACATACCATTGCACCAAGGTATGATTAGCCACATACAATGGGGACTGCCATCAGATGAAGACACTTGACCTTTCTCCTGATCCAAGACAAACAACAAGAGGAAAATAATGATGATAGGAAGAGTCAAATAGGAGATAATGAAAATAAAATAAGAATAGGGTTAAGAAAAAGCATGCCATTTGATGCTGTTTTATAGAATATTCCATTCAAGGCATTTTAGGCTTACCCTTAATCAATTTTAACTCTTCCTAAAGAGCACTGAATTTTGAAGAGCCTGGATTACACTTCCAAGCAAGCCGCAAGTATAGCATAATATGAATGCATCTTGCCAGCTGAGCTCAGCAATCAGGCAGCTACATGCACAAAAGGTGCCGTTTACACCCTGACTATGCGTGGATGCAGCCTCAGGGTTTCCATGGTTCTGGATGGTTATTTTTATACTTTGTTTGAAAATACTGGCTGCAGCACGTGGTGTCACACCGAGTGCAGACAGTTAACTGTCCAGACAGCTTGTGAGTGCAATCCAGCTTAGGGAACTCCTCTCAGTTTGTAGTGTATTAAATATTTACAAATGTATTGCAGATAAGACTCTAGAATTGTATAACACATAAATCACTTGTAAGATATTTAGCACATACTACTACAACACAAATAAGAACACATAGCTCTTCTTATGAGATGTTTTAACTATTAATAAATACTGTTGCATGAGCACTTAATATCAGCAAAAATATCACAATCAAACATCACCATTTTGGACTGTTTTCTCCAAGCGACACTGCATACCACAGCAGCTCTGAGAGATCCCTCCTCCTGAATGCTCACACTCATGCAGTATTTAAGACAGAATTCACTGTTTCTGTTTTCCAAAATCTGTGAACGAATAAAACTTTCTTAAGCATCAGAGACAACCAGATTGCTAAGTGTTACATATCGGTAACTCTACCACTAAAAGGTTTCCGTCTGGAAAGAATGTATTTTTAGGGTGAAAAGGTTTCTTCCTAAATGTTTCCTGTTTCTGACATCTTGCCTAGAAAACCTCCTATTGACATTTCCTTGTTAACCAGGTGCACCTGCCAGAACTTCATCTTCATTACTCACTATACAAGAATAAGAACTAAGAAAAAAAGTTAAAAATACATCAGCAAAAAATTCACCACAAGTCAAAAGTCAACGTCAAAGCAAGGATCTGCAGAGCTTTGAGCTCCACTAGCACCATGTCCATGTTCTCCTTAATACATGTGGACAAAATCTGCACATTGCTTTGTCTCCATTTGCTCCTCTTTTAACTCTCTTCAGACAAAAAATTGAAGAAGTCAGCCAATTTTGGTAGGAAGAGTCAAGTAAATATTTTCACGCATGAGAGGCTCTTGCCAGCAGTGTTTGCACAGCCACCTTGGAAACACTGAAGTCAATCAGTTGGGAAACATAAAACAGTAACTTGCAATTCAGGTGACCAGGTAGAAATCACAGAACAGTAATTTGACAATCTTCAGTGTAACAGTTGCTACAAGTAATTTGTGAGCAATCTCTAGACTACAATATATCTCCATAAACCAGCCACTGAAAAATTCTTTGTAATAAGCAAGTTCATAGAACTCAAATCTGCACAGAGCACTTTCATTCCCTGCCTGCTGCAGGCCAGAAATCCTGACCTCCATTGAGCATGTGATGAATTTCCAGTTGACTGTGACACAACCCTGACTTCACCCCATTCCCATGAGTAA